ACTGTCATTTTTTCCAGGCTTCCCACTTATTTTATCCTTAAGAGCTAAAACAGGTTTAAACTGAGCAACAATAGGTTTAAAGGAGAGAAGTCATTTTAAAAATGGACCGTGATGGAAATATATTAGTTCTATACGTGTACTAGTTTCACATGTTATTTGGGACAGAATATGGCTAGGCTAAAATTGGCTAAGAGCTACCTTCCATAAAATATCCAAACAAGAATATGGTAAGAAAAGTTTCAGAATCTTCTTATGGCTTCAACATGATTCTGTCCAGACTAGGTAACATGGACCAAATTCTACACACTAACATTATCAGTCTTGAATATTAGCAGATCTTCTTGCAAAATTTACTTTGAAATATTTATGCCATCATAAAAGATAACATTCATATATGCATCAACAGCTTGTTCTGAAAAGGAATTAATGTGTATTCTTTTCAATACTGCTGTTAATCTCCAGTGAGTGAATATACTGCCTTGCTAAAAACAAGACTTAAAGACATTAACTGGATGCTTTCACCATTTTAGACACTTGCTTTCAAGAAACCTTTAATTGTCAAGATTTTTAAAGAAATAACAGGCTGCATGAGCCTGATCCCAAAATTCTTTACTCATGTAATCTCATTTGAGTCCATGAAACTCCTTATCAGCAAACAGTGCCACATCAGTCCCTACTGTCTCAAGCCTTCATACTATTCAGTACAATTCCTGAGCTGAACTTTAAATATTTAGCAGGGAGTGCCATTAAAGTTAATAGGACAACAAAGAATTCAAAGTCAGACATATTAAAAAGCGCTTTGTTGGTTTGGGACTTGGACAAGGAAATCCACAACTCAAAAAATACCTGTTGTATAACAGGGATAGAGTCAAGTTTTAGAACCAAAATTATGGACAGAATTATTTCAAAAGCAGTTTTGATGCATACATTACATTTTAACTTGACAGTAATCCTTGTACAACCCCACCATTTTAGGTATCTTAAAAACCCAGTGTAAATAAATACATGTTTTAAAGAATATAGGTAGTTTCATAGTCCTGATTCTGCAGTGTAAAGTTCAGTTCCCAGGTGATGCCTATGACTTGACAGTTAGCCAAAAGGTTACAGTGACCCTATAGATACTGCAGACAATCCTTGGGAACTTTATGTTTAAACAAGGGTGCTGTATCATTTTTAAGGACTGCCAAGAATAACTGAAAGGAAGATACTTTCTGGGTTCCCCTCCCCATCTCCTCTTAAAGTGGGACTTGCACTGGAAGGCCAGCAAGCTGAGAAAGGGCAATGTTGTCAATATTCAAAGAAGAAATAGCTCTGAAAACTAGCCAAGTGCGAGAAGGAAATACCAATTATGAATGCCCTCTCATTTTTCCCAATCCTTTGGCTATGACATTTCCTGAAACACAAAACACATGAACTCTGTCCAAATGTACAAAGCCCCACTGTACCTTTTAATGAAACACCCATCCCTACCCTTTCAGCATGAAAATCCCCTTTTTAATTACTTCCAAGCAAGGCAGTGCTCCTTGGAACTTTTCAGTAAGGACCACAATACCCATTTTAACCCCCATTCTTGCATCAAACACGGTATCCACTCTTCTAGGGTTTACTTATGCTTCACTGCAGAAACTACTCCTTCAGCCATACTTTTTTCTTGAAAAGAAAACAGGTCTTGTTCCACATGCTCACTGAGGTCTGGCAGGTACGTTCTAAGGAATTTGGGTGAAGCTTAGCATCAGCTAAGGGCTTTATTCACATATGTGATGAGAAAGCAAGGGTTATATACGTTTGTACAATTTTTTATAGCAACAGCAGCACACTTAATGCAAACCCTTAATTCCAGTAGTCTAAGAAACATTAGACAGCCTCCAAAGTACTGAATCTTTCTAATTCAAAGAAAAAGGTGGCATCAGTCTACCACCCCTCTATTTGAATGAGGCCATGGCAAATGCAAATCCAATAGGTATCTACTAGGGTGGGACAGAATATAACACACTGAAAGGCAAATGGTGGCACCACTTAGGGGAAAGTGGTGGAAACATCTTCCACGTCTTAAGGTTTGCAGGGATTTTTTTCTTCCAGACTGAAGTTATTTATACCATTAATTTGGAAACGTGACAGTATGCCTCCACATCAGCAGAGGACTAAGCTCAGCAGTGGGCAATTATTTGAGCTGGAGGGCCACTTAAGCAGTTTTGGTAACCTGGCACAGGCTGGGTCAGCAACCCCCCCCCCCCCCCCCCCCCC